TTTTTTTTTTTTTTTTTCTGTATTGAAGCAAGTTTATATTACAATTATTTTTTTCTTTGCTTGGCTCTGCTTTTGCAAGTGCGCCTCTGTTTCCCTTTTTTTTTTTTTCTGTATTGAAGCAAGTTTATATAGGAAAATAAAATCTTGATTTTGATTCTATGATGTATTTTCTAATATGAAAGTCTAGATTGTATATAATAAGTTGATTTTGACAGTGACATGGAAAGTGAATTAACGACCAATTCATCAAGATAAAAAACAAGTAGATTAGATGATGAGATTGGATGGAAATATAATAAGTTGCAAGATCCTAACAATTCAAGTTGGGTGGTCAGTAACTTTTGTAATAAAGTTACCACTAGTGGTATCACCAGAGTTAGAAGGCATCAAATAAGGATCAAAGGGGATGTGGCTCCATGTCCTAAATGCCCACCAACAGTTAGGGAAGAGTTGTGGGCCAATTTACAACAAAAAGCCACAACCAAAAAATTAGAAAAGGAGATGTTTATGTCTAGTTGTGGTACTGTTGATCTTGAAGAGGAAGATGAGGAGGAAGAACTTATGCTAAGAGAATCAACTCTATTTATTGGTGGTAGAAGTAAAAAGGCCAAAATTGGGCAACACAAAGGCCCCATGGATTTGTACATATACCAAAAACCTGAGGAAATTCTCAAAAAGAGAAAGCTTGAAAAGTGTTGGCAATCTTCTATAAAAGATTCTAACAAGGATTTGAGGGCTGAAACAATCCAATACATTGCTCAGTTCTTCTATCAAAATGGCATCTCTTTCAATGTTGCTCGTTCAGAAAGTTTCAAGCTAATGGTAGAAGCAATTGGACAATATGGACAAAATCTCAAACCTCCTAGTCACCATGAATTGAGGGTTTCATGCTTAAATAAGGAGTTGGTGTACACTAAACAATTAATGGAGTATCATAGGAAACAATGGCCAAGATATGGAGTCACTATTATGTTCGATGGATGGACGGATAAGAGGCAAAGGAGTATAATCAATTTTTTGGTTAATTCTCCTACTGGTACAATGTTTGTAAAGTCTATTAATGCTTCTGCTTTTGTCAAAACCGGGGAAAAGTTGTTTAAGTTGATTGATAGCATTGTGGAAGAGATTGGAGAAGAACATGTAGTTCAACTTATAACAGATAATGGGAACAATTATGTTGTAGCTGGTAAGTATAGCTATTCTATTATGTTTGTTATTTATTTAACTTTAAATTTAATTTATTAATGCATTTTGTTTTATTTCTCTTAGGTAAATTATTGGAAGAGAAGAGAAAGCACGTATTTTGGACTCCATGTGCAGCACATTGTATTGATCTTATACTAGAGGACATTGGAAAGATTTCAAAGGTTAAGAAGACAATACAAAAAGTAATGAGTCTTGTTGGGTTCATCTACAACCATTCAAGCACCTTAAACTTAATGAGGCGATTCACTAACAAGATTGAGTTGGTCCGATATGGGGTGACAAGGTTTGTTACGAATTTTCTTTCATTACAAAGTGTGTACAAGTAAAAGGCCAACCTTCAAAAGATGTTTACATCTGATGAATGGACAAGTAGTAAGTTGGCTAGAGATGCCAAAGGAGTAAAGGCAGTAAGTACAGTAATGGCTGCTTCATTTTGGAATAATGTGCTATATACTCCAAGGGTTATGGGTCCTCTTGTGATTGTTTTGCGGTCTGTTAATAGTGAAAGTAAGCCAGCAATGCCTTATATTTATGAGGCAATCACCAAAGTTAGGGATTCCATTAAGAGATTGCAAAATGATGATGAAAGCAAGTACAAGAAAATCTTTGAAATTATTGATAATAGATGGGAATGCCAACTTTATTGGCCGTTACATGCAGCAGCTCATTACTTAAATCCTGCAATTTTTTATAGTACTCCAAATATGGATTTGGATTTGAGACTAACTGGTGAATTGATGGATTGCATTAAAAAAATGGAGCCTAATGTTAATTTGCAACTCAAAATATATGATGAAGTGATAATTTATAATAGAGCTCAAGGTCGCTTTGGTGATGACTTAGCAATTAAATCAAGAGATTCGAAATCACCTGGTAAGATCTCTTGTATGATACCATTTTATTTTTCTTGAATAGCTTTATGCTTTCTGTTTTTTCTTTTTTTTCTTGAAACACAAATTTTATAGAAAACATATGATAGCAATCCATTTAGGGTGTACAAGCAACCAATTAAGAATCCAGAACTCTCGGACTCAAAACAATC